GGGCAGGCCACTGAAGGACTTAATCAGAGGAGAGACATAATTAGACATTCATACTGAAAAGATTGCTCTGGCCATGGCTTGGTGGATGTATTGGAGAGAGGCCAAGTGACGGTGTGTTGGTACAGAAGTCCAGGCAAGAGAAAGTGGCAGCTGGAGCCTCAGAGGAGACAGTAGAGACAGAAAGAGTGTCATATTTGAGAGTTACATGGGGAGTAATCGTGATTTCTCCAGTTTTCTGGCATGAGCGATTGGGTGGAAGGGATGCCGTCCAAGGTGACACAAAGTCCCAGAGGAGGATGAAGTTTGGGTAGAAGGGAGAGCCTGAGTGCATGAGGGATTGAAGCAAGCATGCAGGTGTATTTGCTTGTTGCTTACAGTGTTTTTAAATGAATTTGTCAAATTCACCAAATTATGTCAGCATTTCCCAAAATGTGTTCTTTAGCATCCTGCCTGTCAAAGAGTATCCTATGGGCCAGCAGTTGGCTTTCCCAAGGAGCAGGTCAGAAAGGCTACCTCAGACCTACTTACTTCTACCAGGTCCTATGTGATTCACAGCACATTAAAATTTGCAAAACTCAGCTCGGGAACACCAGTCATAGGAGATGTTATGTGACCGAAAGGTTCCCAGGGCAAACAATTTTGGGAAATGGTGAGACCATTTTCCTTGCCCATAGTCAGTTGCAAGTCCCAATATCATTGAAAAGGTTCCATAACCTCCATTAAAGAGACCTATGTTTTCTAGGACTTTTTGTACTTAAATTTACCATTCACATCCTTCTCCATCCACACAATCACCTCTGATAATAGCATAGAATTGAACATTCTGTGTAACATACTTTTAGAAACACTCATTTATATAGCATGCAGAATTAAGGCTCTCAAGTCAGATCTACCTGGATTTAATTCATTTATTTGTTGATTCTACAAATACTTATTGATAACCTATTATATGGGAAGCACTATTCTTGATACTGGGGCTGTAGGAGTTAAAAAGAGACAATATTCTCTGCCCTTTCAAAGCTTATGTTCTAGCTGAGGAGTATGTTTATCACTAAGAAGGATAAATTACATGGCACGTGCCATGGTAAAAAGTGCTAGGAGGAAGGATAAAGCGGTTACAGAATAGAGAGTGGTGTGGAGGGCAATTTAGTTAGCAGCAAGGCAGTGAAGGAAGAAAGTCCTGTGGTCTTTATGGGACATTCTGGGGCAGAGGGAACACTAAGCTCAAAGATCTCAAAGTAGGCCCATGTCCAGTGTTTGAGACACAATGAGACGAATGGACCTGAGGAGAGGAGAGTGAGGCAGAACCTCAGACTTGGAATTCTAGCCCTGGCCCTTGTCAATGTTGAGAAATTTATGTAAACTCTCTAAACTTCTGTCCTGCATGTGGATGATAATTGTGCTTATTTTCTAGGGCCATGTGAGGTTGAAACAAGGTCTTGTATGTATAATGTTTAGTGCAATGCCTGGATCATAGGAAATGCTTGAACACGTTGGATATGATCATTTATTACTTACAGGTTAAAAATACAAACTCAGCAGTGTAGAAGTGTTCCTGTCTCTCCACATCCTCGCCAACATTTGTTGTTTTGTGTTTTTTTGATAGAGGCCAATCTCACTGGGGTTAGGTGATACCTCATTGTGGTTTTGATTTGCATTTCTCTAATGATTAGAGATGTTGAGCATTTTTTTATATGTTTGCTGGCCATTATTCTGTCTTCTTTTGAAAAGTTTCTGTTCATTTCGCTTGCCCATTTGTTGATGGGGTTGTTTGATTTTTTCTTGTTGATTTTTTTGAGTTCTAGATAGATTCTGGTTATCAGCCCTTTATCAGATGTGTAGAGAGCAAATATTTTTTCCCATTCTGTGGGCTGTCTATTCACTCTAATGATAGTTTCCTTGGCAGTGAAGAAGCTTTTTAATTTGATTAGATCCCACTTATTTATTTTTGTTGCTGCAGCGATTGCTTTGGGGGTCTTCTTCAAGAATTCTTTACCTAGGCCGATGTCTGAAAGGGTCTTCCCAACATCTTCATTTAGAATTCTTAAGGTTTCATGCCTTAGGTTTAAGTCTGTTATCCACCTTGAATTAATTTTTGAGAGAGGTGAGAGGTAGGGGTCTAGTTTCAGTCTTCTGCAAATTAGTGCAACCTCTGTGGAAAAGAATTTGGAGATACCTCAGAGAGCTAAAAATAGAAATACCATTCGATCCAGCAATAGCACTATTAGGCATCTGCCCAAAAGAGCACAAAACATTCTACGATAAGGACATCTGCACCCGAATGTTTATGGTAGCACAATTCACTATTGCAAGAATGTGGAAACAACCCAAGTGCCCGTCAATCCATGAGTGGATTATCAAAATTTGGTATATGTTTACAATGGAATATTACTCAATCATAAGAAATGACAGTGATCTAGCACCTCTTACACTTTCCTGGATTAAACTTAAGCCCATTATCCAAAGTGGGGCACCACAAGAGCAGAAGAACGGGATCCATTTGTACTCACCATCAAATTGGTATTAACTAATCAACACATAAATGCACATATCAGAACAACATCTATTGGATGCTGGGGAAGGGAGAGGGTGGTGGGAGGAGGGGGGAGAAGGGAGGAGGGGACGGGTATTTGTATACACAAGGAGTGTAATACGCACTACCGGAAGGATGGACATATTTGAAACACGGACTTGGGGGGGGGAGACCAAGGGCAACACATGTAACCTAAACATCTGTACCCCATAATATGCTGAAATAAAAAAAAAAAAAAGAAAAATACAAACTCAGGAGCTGTCCTGCCAGAGTTTGAATCCTAGCTCTAGTGACTCACTTCTTACTGGTTCTGTGACTTGGGCAAGGTATTTAACCCTCTGTGCCTCAGTTTCCTCATCTGTAAAATGGGGATAATAATAGAGCCTCTCTCCTGGGGTTGGTATGAGATTTAATGTGCTGATATAATGGAAAGGGCTTAGAACAGTGTCTGGCACATAGTAAGAACTCCATCAAGTTAGCAATCATTAGGACCATTAATAATGAGGTCCTAATATGTGCCAGACCTTTAAAGAAATAGACCAAAGTCTTCCTGATGTGAGCTCTTTGGGAAAGTGGATTTGTGGGTACAGGGAGAGCAGTGGGTCTTGAAGAAGTCAGAAGGAGTTTCCCAGTCATCTAGAAGAGACTAGCCATGGTTGGAAGGAGGAGGAGGAGGAATAAGGAGTAGGGGGAACAGGAAGAAGAGAAGAAGAAGGAGAAGGCTATGAATTTCAAGAAAGAGGACAACAGACTCCCAGCACAGTTGTGGAGCAGAATGGCTATCCTGTAAATCCAGGAAGTTGTGCATAGAGGCAGCCTTGAATAAACATGCCTCTCTTCTATGGGAGGCACTAAAGCAGCAGAGAACCACTGACCAGTGGTCAGATGGCTCAGGAGAGAACATATGTTAGGGTTGTATATTAGTTATTTATTGCTGTACAACAAATTATCTCAAAACTTGGTGGCTCAAAACACCATTTATTATCTCCCAGTTTACATGGGCCAGGAATCTGGGCAGGGTTAAGCTGGGCCCTCTGCTTCTGGGTCTTTCATAGGCTACAGTCAGGTGTTGGCTGGGGCCAGAATCATCTCAAGGCTTAACTGGAGAAGGATCCACTTTCAAGCTCACATACGTGGGTCCTGGCTGGATTCCTGGTTATTGGACTGAGGGCATCAGTCCTTACTGGCTTTTGAGACAACCCTTGGTTCCTTGCCATGTGGGCTTCTCTGCCATGGCAGCTGGCTTTCTCAAAGTGGGAAAGCCAAGAAGGTAACAGAGAGAGTCCAGCAGGACAGAAGCCTAATTACAGAGTGGTAACCCAGCACCTATTTACAAGAAGCAGGTCATTAGCTTCAGCCCACACTCAAGGGGAAGGGATTAGACAAGGGCATGAAGTTCAGAAGGCAGGACACCTTGAAATTAGACTGGCCTCCCTCCTGATAGATTCTGTTGCCTGGGATATGTTTTACAGAAGATCCTGCTATATGGTATAACCTCAGGGGAGAAGGGAACCCCAAGAAAGGATGAGATTAACTTTTCTGACAGCCTGGCCAATTGGTGCCTCAGAAGAGAAATTGACTTACTAAAAACAAATAAGGCTTATATATTACACATCTGTGCTGAGGATTCAATTCTTTCTCATTTCTTTTGTTTCATTTAATTCTCCAAGCCATCCTGTGAAGTACATGTTATTACATTTATAAGTGAGAAAATTGCAACTCAAAGTCACAAATCTGAGATCACAAAGTAGGATGGCTGACAGTTTGAATCTCAGTGTGCATGACTCCAAAACCCATGCTCTTTTTACTACTCAGAGCTACCTCAGTGTTGCTGGAATGCATGTTTCTTTTATCACTTAGAATAGCACAGATGTGTAGGGACCTGCAAATAGTATCAAGTCTTTGAGCTCTACTAAAGTATAAATATAAAATGCAAAATGCCATCCACAGAGTTTTCTGTAAAGCCCAACCTTTGGTGGATCAACATATTGCCACTGTAGAAATTTTCATAAGATCAGACTCCTGGTATTTAAAGGTATTCTGAATTTAATAGCTTCAGTGCATCATCCTCAATAAATTTAAGTGATTTTGACAAAGAGCACAGCCATGAACTACTTATTTAATATAATCAAATGAGGCCAGAAGATGATGACCAAGAAGTGTCACCTGGCTGAAAATTATTCTCATGTTCTTGCAGATAAGGGTGACAAGTTATCTCAGAAAAACATCCCTCCAGTGGCCGTAGTATACCCAGCTGGCCTGACTCATGGGCTGTACATTCACTTCTGTTAGTCCAGGAGACTATCTTAAATCTTCACCATGCTCCTCAGTGCAAATGCCACTGATGTGAGCCCAACAGGAAGTGTGACCTCATTCTGCTTCTCTGCCTCTGGTTACGCAGGCTGTTTTTGAAAGAAAACAAGAGGGGTTGCAAGGCTGACTTTCCCAGGAACTACACGCTCCTCGGTACCAGGAAACAGCCAAAAGAACAAGAGACTGCTGAAGAGAAAACTTCTCTGCAAATGCCTGCACATGGCAATGTGTGTCGCCATCTACCAGAAGGGAAGGTGGGATTCCCATTATTAAGAGACTTCTGCACCTGTTGACGTTCTGACATTTTTTTCAGCTTCAGAACTGCTCAGTCCTTGATTTCTCTGCTGTCAACCACAGGAAACTTTGTATTTCAGTTATTATTTTGTCATTTATCAATTGGAAGAAGAAACTGGAAACTCCCTTTGGAAGGAACATGTATGGGCAAATATTTTTTAGAACAGATGTATTGCTTTGATGGAACTGCTTGAGTCTGTTTCTTGAAAAGTTTTAGAGCTGTAACTGAAGATGTTTTTTTTTTTTTTATCACTGTTTCTAATTTTCAATTAACTGTCAGTGTACTGCCTGTAGCCTGCTACAAGCATTTGTAAGATGGAAAAATAAGACCTTGCTTTCTGTCACAGGATTTGTTGGCTTAAAATTAAGCTTAATGCTTAGGAAAAACTAACATAGGGTAATTTGGGGTGGGCATATTTGTAGAATATTGATGGAAAATGAAAAGGACAAGTAACATACTAATATATATATTGCAAACAATATTATTTTATATCCTAAACAAATGAAATCTATAAATGTGTGCTTTGATTTAGACATCTTCCAAGGAATGCCAGAAACCTTCCTGACATCTTTAACGGTCTCTATAAATCGGGTTTTAAATTTTCTAGCAGGGTTGGTATATAATTTATTGAAACAATTTGGAGCTGTAGAATTAGCCTGGTTTGATTGTATTACAGCTACAAAAACAATTGATTACTAGTTATCATCTTACAAGATGTGGATAGAGGTGGTGAATCATAAAATAATTTAGTCCTACCTTATAAAGCTATTAGGATAATGATACTATACATAAGGTTCAATAGTCAACAGAAGGTGGTTCTATTTGATAAGAGGTAAAGGATCAAAGTTTACATAATTTGCACATTTTGATACGTGTTTGATTTGTAATTAAGAAAGTAAATTATATGTTCATGGGAACAGAGTTCTGAAATCTAGCCAGTGGTAATCTCTTTTTAGTACAATACTGTTTATGCTGTTTAGGAATGTTCAGGCTCATAAAAGGCTGATAACAACTACAAAAAAGCATTCTGTGTGACTACCTGTCAGTGGTTCAAATTGTTAGGCAAAAAACAGGTACCAATCTCCAAGCACTGTCTGAAACTTGATAAGGAGGTTAATTTCATTGGCTGATTAAAATACAAAAAAATTTTGTTTAGGGGCTCTAGAACCAGTCATTTTTCAGATTTCTTTATCAAATAACTCACTTTCATTATTTTATTTGGATTACAAATCAATCTTTGTAAGTCTAGCTTTTCCAAATAAAGTGTTGTTCTTATTTACAAAAAAAAGATTATTTAGATGCACTAAGTGAAACCATGGAAAGTGTAATACAAAGTCGCGGAGGCAGACGCAACCTTAGTGAAGTTGTGTCTTCAGTCTAGTCTCCTGCCTTCAGTTCTTTATCTCTGTATTATTTCAGTAGACAAATCTGACTAGTGCAATTAGTAGATGCCATCTGTTTTGGCATAATTTTTCTATTTTTAATATATAGTCCACCTTTTTTTATCATCTTTTGCAGAGACTCTGTGAAGTTTGAACAAGCGGCCTTCCCAAGATGTACCGAGTATCTCAACTGATGTCAACACCAGTAGCAAGCAAATGTAGGAAAACTGCTATATGCAATTATCTTTTGAACGATTAGACTCCTTTTAGCAATTTCCTTGCTTTGATTTTGCTGATACTCAGACCATTAACCATCTGTCAGTAGCTTGCGCTTCTTAAATGCCAGTGTTCACTTTGGCAATGATTTTGACTTCATTTCTTTCCTTGAGAGAAATGTGGTATTTTTCCTTTTAGTAGAAAAAAAAATTACCGGTTTTTTTTTAGACGCCTGTGCATAAATGTGAAAGGAGATTGTTTATCAGCTACTATTAAGATGCAAAACTGTTTGTCTATAAAAAATGCTGAATGATTTTGATAGCTACTTGCAGAAAATAAGGGCGTTGTTAAAACGGTAGTGGTTTCAAGTTTCTTCCTTCCTCTTGTTATTTTCTTCCCAAACCCCATTTCTAACCCTCCCTCACACACCCACAATTTTCTCCTTACAAATCAACCCACTGAATCTGAAAGTCTACATTCCTTTCTTTGTCCTAGATACTGTCAGTAATGGAATCAATTTTCACAGAGCCTGTCCATTAGAAGTATTGATAGCATCACTGTACATTACAAAATTCTGCTTTAGAGTTTAGAATATTAATCAACTGTAACTTTCCCCAAGTGAAGTCTGTTGCCATGCCTTTGGTTAAAATGGAATGAATGAATTAATGATTTTTTTTAATAATTAAGAGTACTTACGGGCTTCATACATTGGAAAGTCATATATAAAACAAAACAAAACCTTATTTTCCCCCACCAATGTCTTTTGATCATTATTTTACAGTAGAAGTGTCTTAAAATGCACTAATGAGGGAGAATCTGGAATGATGACTGAATTCCTCAGATTACTGAGTAAGCTACAATAACCAACACGTTGGATAATTGATTTGAGTTTTCTCCAGCTTCACACAAGATGTTTTCTTCCTTCTTTTCACGAGCTCAATTTGATGCTAACGATTTATTATTGCCTCATCCTGCACTAAGGAATTTCTAAAGGAGTGTTATGTATGAGAAAGGACAGGAGATAGAAACTCCTGGATTATTTCTTGCTCCCCGTGGAGCTTTGGTGACAAGTTGTATTAGACTGATGCAGTGGGCAGCTGCTCTAGTTGGAGTCTTTCTGCAGAGGCTGGGGCATCCACTCTTCCCACCTTCTCACATGCTCCAGTGTTCACAGTCATGCATGCTGGTGAGGTGTGCTAAATTTCTATTTCCCTCTCATGTGTTCACTCAGGTTCTTCCAGGTTGGAGAGAGAATATGCCGGAGAGCTATCTGCCACATGCATTTTCCCAAGGTATTCCACGGGCTTTTTTCAAAAAGCAATCCAATTCTTTCCCTGTATGTCTCATTTTACTGTATTCCTTGTTTAAAAATAGTATTTTAGCTGTCATCCAGTTTTGGTATGGTTATATATTTTTAGTCCTATGCATACACAGAATGAAAACTTGCCTGATGTAATAATGGATTGTGTGTGTGTGTGTGTGTGTGTGTGGGCAGGTGTGAATTGTTTTTCTGGTGAGTGACACAAACATTGAATACTGATGGATGGTTACATTTTCTCAAATTGATGTTCTCTTAAATGTGCTTTCCTATCTCACTTTACAAGAGCAACAGGATATTACACTAATGCACAAGTTGACCAAATTTTATGCTCCACTAAGACATATAGATTCTACCATTTTGTTCAAGTACTGCAATGGAGTCTCTTTTCTTTTCCTTTCTTTTTTTTCTGACTCTCCATCTCTTATTCCTTATGCAGACATCAGTTGATGTTTCCTCTAGTATTTTAGGAAATGTTCCTGTAGTATAAAAGGATTATGCATTGATTTTAGGACCTGGTCCTTTTCTTGTAAATTCTAGGGCTCCTGTTCTTAACAATGAATCAGCTAAAGATAAACAAACAGAACTTGTGCAAAGAGCATATGTTTTAGAGTCAGATAGAGTGGGGTTCATATCCTATCTCTGCCACTTACTAGCTGTATAAAATATCCACATAATTTGCCCTTCTGGCCTCATTTTTTTCTTGCTGCAATGAGGATAATAATGATACTTAGCTTTTAGGGAGATTTATAAAGAGTAGATAAAGTACAAAGTGTGGGCCCAGGCCCATGGTAAGTGTTCAATAAATAAAATTCATTTAAAATAGTATTTTAATAATAACTTGAGTGCATATATTAATTGCATTTAGGCTTTTAAATGAAAAAAAAATCATAAATTCAGTAGTTCAGGAGGGAGATGTATAGAAGGATGAGAGACATTTTGCAAACTATCAATATGTAAATAATTATATAAAAATTTTTAAAAGGTCCTAATGATATTTGTCCCTTTACCAACCAGTCTATCATAGCAGGCATGAGCTTTAGACTTTTTCAAGGCCTGGTTAGTAGCCTCACAAGATGAGAAAGGGCTTTGTCTTTGGGCAGTTGAGCAAGTGGCTGGGCTTTGGGTGGGGTTGGACTTCTGAAACCAATTGGAAAAGACCTACTCAAAAGAATCAGCTACTAGGATTATTATCGCAGAATGAAGCAGGAGTCAAGATCTAGAGATAATTTTGTTATCCACTCTAAGAGTTTGAGATTGTTGAAAAGAATCTCTTTTTTACTCTAAGCCAGGTGTTGGAAAAGTGTCTTCATTTTGTTTACAACCAAGAGAGGAGGAGCAAAGTTAGGGACATTAAAAAGGAATACTGCTAGGGGGTTAGGGAGGCTGCAGGTGATAATTGTTGGATGTTGAAACCTCAGAGACTGGAGTGCAGATAGAAATACAGATGCAGAACTCTGTACCCTCCTAAGCGTCCAGTACATTATAGTTGCCCCATTACTTTTTGGGGACACAAAATGATGTAGAGGAAAAAGTACTAGGGTAGAAGACAGTAGATTTGGATTCTCACCTTGCATCTCCCACTCATAAGCCTTGAGATCTTGAACAATTAACATCCTACTGGAGTCTCCATTTTCTTATCTGTTAATAGGATAACACTAACTAAAATGTGCTGATAAAGTAGGTCAATGTATGTCTGGAAAGTAGTCTCTTCTGGTGTTTCCCAAAATTCAGATCCCTACTTGTGTTATTCAGTATTTTCATCAATGACTTAGATTAAGAACACATAGATTCCAGTGATAACATTCTTGGATGACATCATGTAAACACATTAAAAATGTTGTATAATATAATCAAAATTCCTCAGAGTTCTAAGAGTGCAATCCTATGGGCTCATTCAAATTGTAGCCAACAGATTTAGCTTATAGCTGATAGGCTATGAAAGGCATAGGCATTAATAACCTTCCATGAAATTATGACATTTATTATTTACATCAACCCTGTGAGGTTGGTTTTGGATAATACTTATTGTACTTATTCCCATTTATAAGAAACTAAGCCTTGGAGAGAATAAATATTTAGCAAGAAGTAGAACCAGAATTGAAACCCAGGGTATAAACCTAGCTCTATCTAGATCCAAAGTTTTTATTATATATTGACTTTCTAAGATAAAATTGGTTCAAAAGTCCAGAAGAGGGAAAGTATGACTAAATATATGGATAGAAGACAAAAAATTGTTAATCAATTCAATAGTGTAACAACATGTTGGTGACTGGGGGAAAAAGAGAAAAGAATCAAGCTGACATGATTTAAGCATCATCCCTAAAGACATGAATTCTATAATGAAGGAGGTGATAGTCTCAATCTCCTCTTGGCAGACACACACCTAAAAGCTTGGGCTCTATACTTGCCATGATACATTAAGGAGTGTTTTAAAAACTGGAAAATCCTCAGAGAAGAGTAGTCAAACTATAATGGTGAAGGGATCAAAACCACATTGTGTCATATAGTGTCAACTACTGTCATATAGTTAGATGAACTGGAAGACTTTTAGTATCGGTAAGAGAATACCCAGTGAGGATGTGGAAAGTCTCTTCAAATAACTGAATAACTCTCAAATGCAAGATGGAAAGGACAGAAAAGGAAGGGAAAGAAGGGACGGAAGGAAGTAGACATTTATTAAGCACATACCATGTGCTGAGCACATTCTATTCATTTTCTTGTTTAATTGTCAAGACAACATCATAAAGGGAGATGATTTTTTTTTCTCATTTTTACAGATAAAAATACAGCCCGAGAAGCTAAATGACTGGATTAGGTTTACTCACCTAATCAATGACAGAGTTGAAATTATAGGCTTAGGGTGAAATGACTCCAAACTCCATGTCTTATCTACTACACCACAGTCCATACTCAGTGAAGGGTAGGGTGGCTTAGCATGTGTGTGGTCCTTACCACTGAAGGTGTACAAGCAGAGATGGGATAGTGTTTGTCAAAAATACAGCAGATGGGACAAGCACAATTGGGTGGGTTTGGAGACATGACCATTAAAATTCCTTCTGATTCTTAGAATCTGTGATTTTCTGGAAATGTATGCTCCTGATTTATATAATTGCATAGGATAAATGTATGTAGAATTTCTTTGAAAATATCAAGACAAAGAGCATATGAGAGATATTACAGTATCAGTGGTATTGATCAATTGACAAAAAAACCATCCCAAGAATTTAAATATATTCACACACTATTTTTTTAAAGACCAGATTTTCATAGCCTGTCATATGATTTAATTCAGCAACTACTATTGAATTTATTTATATATTGAACATTTATTAGGCTCACAGCCCTTCCCTCCAGAAATGTATAAAATAATTATTGAGGCAGACATTCATCTACACAAATCACAGTGATAGTTAGGGTGTAGGGCAAAGAAAAATAATTTTTGTAGGAGAAGAGAGGGAAAAGCAAGTAGTTTTGCCTGAGAAAATAACATATTCTTTTCTCCAATATGGCCCTATTACTGTTGCCACCAGGCTTAGACCAAATCTCATCTCAAGAAATTTTAAATTTCTGAAATATCTTCATAATAATTTTGGTTGCCTTTCAATTATAGGGGCATGTGATTCTTTTAGAGATGGGATCTTGCTATGTTGCCCAGGCTAGAGCGCAGAGGTTATTCACAAGCATGATCATAGGACACTGCAGCCTCAAACCTTCTGGGCCGAAGCAGCTCTCCTGTCTCAACCTCCTGAGTAAATGTGACTACAGGCACATGCCATAACACCCAGCCCAATGCGATTGCTCTTTAAATCTAAGACACATGCAGATTTACTCAAGGAATTATGAGACTTTCCTGGATACCAAATCAGGGAAGGAGACCATTTGTACAGCCAACCTGGAAGGGAATTTGCAAAGGTTAAAAAGATCTCTTTGACTACATGTTCCCCCTATATCTTATATCTTATATGTGTCTGGAGGCTGCATAGTTATAATTTCTCTATTACAATGACAAGAATAATACAGTGACCTGGCAATTGGAGGGTTATTCAAAGTAAAAGGGTGGAGGGAATTATGATCTTCCAACATCTCAGAAAGGCTTCTTTGCAATTTTTCCATCCAAGAAAATAGACTAACATCAAGAGTGTAGGCTCATCATATGGTGAAGAAACTGATTAACCATAGTGTTTTCATCAAATTTTAAAACAGAAGGAAGCACTAAGAGTCCTCTAGTTCAGTGCTCTCATAGGTGAGGAGATGAAGCCCAGAAGGTTAAGAATGACATTCTTAATGGTGGCAGAAGTAACTGATAGTTATGAATGCAAAGAGGTTGTTTTCCTTCACAATAAGGAGACAGGTGGTTTTCGTGTGACTGTATGTACTGGATAGAGATTTAAAGGACTTTCCTTTTTCCTTCTTTAGTTTTGCCTGTGATTTCCTGGATGGTGACAGTTCCTTTGAATGCTGCTCCATAGATCCCCTGACAGGCTCTCACTATACCTGTCGCCGAAGTCCCAGACTGCTCACCAATGGCTACTACATTTGGACAGAAGACAGTTTCCTCTGCGACAAAGATGGCAACATAACTCTGCACCCATCCCAGACCCGGGTTATGTATAAGGAGAACGTAGTCAGGTGAGTAGAGGATGTTACATAAAGGAATCTCAAGTCCAATCCATCCAATAGTTATTCGTTCATTCATCTATTCATTCAACAGTCATTTATAAGGAGCCCATTATTGCTTCAGAATGGAAATACAAAGGGAAATAAGGGGAAGGGATAGAAATTAGAAAACAAACAAATTTAATGCAGTGATTAGGGTGTTGGGATAGAAATCTACACAGGGTGCCATGGAGGGGAAAAGGAAGGGAGGTCTGTTTTACTTGAGAAATAGGTAAAAATAAGCTTCCTACAAATGGTGATGACTGATTTTGAATCTTGAAAAATGTAAGATGTTAGTTAAAATAAAAGTAGGAAAAAGGTCTTCTGGAGAGAGGGCACAAGCATGCGGTTCTGAGAGACTCTGATACAAGATGGGGAATGGCAATTAGTTTAGTAGGGATACAGCTTAGGGTAGGAAGGAGTGCTCTGGGAGAAAGAAGACTGAGATCAGAGGCAGGGGCTGGATGGAGAGGGCTAAATTTCAGGCTAAGGAGTTTGGGCATTCTTCTGTAGGTAAAGAGGGGCAGTTGTTAAATTATCAGATTTAGTCTTATAAAGATAACAGTAATTGCAATGTAGAAGACAGATTGTTGGAAGTGTGGATTTGTGAGTAGAGAATGAACAGAATGGGAAAACTGAAGGCTTTTCATCCATGGATTGAAAGAAAGTCAGTAGCAAGGATAAAAGTGTTGGGGAAATGAATGAAAGGGACGGTAAAGAGATAGGACTTGGTCACTATTTGAATGTGGGAGGTCAGCAAAGGAAGGACACTTGCATGAAACTTGGGACTCTGGCTTTGTCAACTAAATGTATAGTAGGACCATTTAATAAGATCAGAAATAGGGGAGGGACATGCTTGGAGGAAAAGAGATGAATGTGTTCATTTTAGATCAGTGAATTTGGGCAATCATATTCATTTTCTTTTCATTGAAAACCACCCACATGCTGACTGTATCAGTCAATCAGCTATTAACACAATAATGCTGTGTAACAGATAACTACAAATTCTCAGTGACATATAGCAATGAATGCACACATGTTTGGAAGTCACTTGGGGTAGGTTGATCTAGTCTGGATCTAGTCTGGACTAGGCTGAGCTTGGCTTCATGTTGGAACCAATGAGGTCCCACATAAGTCTTTTTTTTGGGACCAGTGAACATGAAGAATGTTTTTCCCATTGTAATCACATAAATACAGAAAGACAATAAGACTAAATCTGATAATTTAACAATGGCCCCTCTTTATCTACAGAATAATGCCCCAACAGCAAGTTCATGTCAAGCCTCTGTGTGTATCAATCTGCTAACTTCCCATTGGTCAGTTCCAGTCACATGGGCAAGCTGAAGTGAGGGTCAGGAAAATACACTCTATCCCTGTTGATGCAAATTTCCTGAACAATAATTCAATTTACCACATTGGTGATCCCCAGAATTATATGAGGGGACTTCAAAAAGTTTGTGGAAAAATGAAATTAAAAGATAAAACTAAACTTTATTTCTCAACATAAGCTCCATCAAGTTCAATATACTTTTGTAAGTGGTGATACCAGCCATTCAGTCCATCTCTAAAGAACTGAGGGTCTTGGGAATTGAACCATGTCAATGCAGTCTTTCTTACATTATTAACTGAAGAAAAATGGGTCCCATCTAAAGATCTTTTGAGATTAGGAAACAAAAAAGAAATCGGAAGGAGAACAAATCAAGACTCTAGGGTCCCATTCCCCCTCTGGGTTTGCAGCCTAGCTATGTCACTTACTAGCTGCATGACCTCAGCCAAGTAACTTAACCTCTCAGTGCCTGTTTCCTGACCTCAATAATGGGAGAATAATAGTATCTACCTTATAGAGCTGTTTTGGTAGAATAATGTGAGTTAATCCATATAAAACACTAGGAAGAGTGTCTGGCACAGAATAAACTCTATGAAAGCATTAACTGTACCAGCATTATTCTTGTCTTTTTCCCATAACAGATTGTGAACTTTTTGCATGCAAAGTTTTGTCTTTTATAAATCTCAGTATTCTTGACATTGATCCAAGGACCTTGCACACAGTAGAATTTTGAGAAACATCTGTGGAATTAATGGAGTGAATGGACTTGGATTGTAGAGATGTACTCTGTGCACCAAGTCACTTTTGCTAGATTCTGTTTCGAACCCGAGGTGACGCTACTCATTGTTCACTACGCTTTCACTTCTCTCCAGGATATTTAGAAAGAAAAAGAGAATCCGCCATTCTCTTCCTTCTCTCTTCAACCTCAGTGCCTCTCAATCCTGGCTGCATGGGAGTTTCTTTGGTGATGTTGACTCTTCCCCAAGTGAGGATGTCTGGTTGGAAGGGGTCAGGAGGGTGGATACAGACCACTGCAATGGAAATGGTGAGTTCGAGCCTTTTCCATAGTGAAACGTCATTTCCAAATGGGCAGTGGCAACCATATGGACCAATGTTAAATCCAGAGATAACAGTTATTTTGATAGAGAGATGGGCCATATTTTAAAAATTCACCTAAAGTTCTTCCCACACTATTGGTGTGATCAAAGTACATATGTGTTCATGTCATGCAAATTACCCTAATTTAAATCTGTAAATTATTAAGCTGATAATACTGGAAAAATACTTGCTCATCTCCAGTGTGTTTTCTGTACAGGATATGGGTGGAGAGAGGATACTGGAGTCAGATTTAGAAGATCTGTATTGGAGAGAGTGTGCTGGGGTCAGGGTTTCATTCCCAGTTTGGGCACACTTAGATAGTACTTAACTTTGCCAAGTCTTGATTTCTTAATTTTTAAAACAAGATCTATATATATATGTGTATATACACATATATATATTATATATTAAAAACTATTGAAATATATAATATGTATATGTTAGATATATGTGTATTATGTGATGCACATTAATATCAATATATAAATATGTATATAGATATATATGCATATAAACAGTGATGGGAACTCAAAGCATATTTTAAAGATTAAAATAGGACAATGACTGTCAGGCATAGTTCAGTGGACATAGTGGTGAATAAAACAGGCAAAACAACTTGTTCTTTTGGAACTTGCAGTTTTCTAGGGGGAGATAGACAATGCATAAATTATATGGCATGTTAAAATGTGGCCAGTGGGATGGAGAACAATAAAGGGGGACGTGATGGGGATTGTAAGTTTCAGTAAGGTGGTTAGGGAAGGTCTCCTGGAAAAGGACTTTTGAGCATTGACTTAAAAGCAGGAACAAAACAGCTGTGTGGACATCTGGGGGAGGAATGATCCAGGCAGAGCAAATGCTAGAGCGAAGGCTCTGGACTAGGATCCTGCATGCGGCTGAGAGAGCAAGGGGGCCAGAAGGGAAGAAGCTCAGAGGTGTGGGTGTTGGGGAGGGTGCAAGTGGGGAAGGACAAGGACAATTGTGGGGCCATTTCAAAGGTTTTGAGTTCTGCACAGGGCAAGAGGAGAAATCACTGGAGGATTTTGAGCAGAGGAATAATACGATTCAATTCACATTCTGAGAGGATAACTCTGGCTGCTGGGTTCAGATTAGATGTCAGGTAGTAGGAACAGAAGCAAGAAACTGATTTAGAGGCTGTCAGAGTGATTCAGGTGGGAGATTAATGGTGGCTTGAACTAAGGTGATAGCAGGGTGGTGGTGGAAAGTGATAGGATTCTGGATTCCTTTCAAAAGTGGAGCCAACAGGATTTGCCCATGTGGGCTATGAGAAAAAAAGAGGTCAAGAGTGCTTATTGTATGCTGAACACTTTAAATTCTGTTTTTTAAAAACGTTGCCTTGTTTATACACATTACCTTATTTAAATATCCCTAAAACTCCTGGGAAGTAGATTGTATTAGTATATTTATTGTAATTATGATGAAACTGAGGTTCAGGGTTAAGTAAGTTGCCTAAGTTCATTTAGTTTATAAACAGCAGAGTTGGAATTCAACCTAGGTCTGTCTCATTTGAAAGTCCAGACTTTGCTCTACTGCCAGGAAGGGTTTTGTTCTCCTTTCTAAGGAGAAATCCAGTGTGTATCTCATAGCTGAGGCCCAAAGTACAAGTTAAAGGGGTCACATAATGCAATAATCTTATAATTTAAGTGTGTACTAATTATATGTCTGCTATTTTTCTCAACCTGCTTGGTGGGAAGAAAACACAATGCTACATTTTTTTTCGGTAGTGTGTAATAATAGATTAGTTTCAAAACTACAATAAGCGCTAAGCGCTTGTTAAATGAGGAAACAATTCCTTATATGATTAATTAAATTGAGTGTCTTTTAGTTCCCCACAATAACAAGCACATATCAGCAGGACGAGGAAAGGAGAAAGAGGCAGGAACAGAGGGGACAAGACTGGAAGGATAGACGGGAGATACTTGAATAGCCTCTGTGCCATGTTGAGGAGTTTGGGTTTTATCTAACAATCTAAACAATCAAAATCTTAAGAAGGGCAATAACACAATCAGATTTTGATTTTCCAAATTACCTTTGCAGTAGCATGAGGTGAGGATTGGATGGAGATTAGGTCATGGGAACTTAGAGGCAATTAAAACCAGCAAGCACCCTAAGGAAGTGGCTCTGGAAATAAAGGGAGGGAGAAATTTAAGAAATATTTTTCAAGGTAGAATTGACAGGTTGGTGACAGATTGAATGGAGTGGTGAGAAAGTGGGGAGAATCAAAGAAAATAGATGTGTTTAATTTGGAAGACTGCATGAAAAATTCTGCCAGTCACCAAGGGCTAAAAGATATTATGGCAGAGTGAGGAGAATGGGCTTTTGAGCTGGGTGAACATGCATTCAAGTCCAGGAATCACCATATCATACCTGAATGTTCTTTGGAAAGTTAATTAACCTCTCTAATCCTCCAGTTCTTCATATATAACAGAAGAAAAATAATTGCATATAGAATTGTTGTCAAGATGAAATGCAATAATTCTTAAAAAGTACCATATCAGCACAGGGGCCAATATCCTGCTTAATATAAATTAGCTCTAAAAAGGTGAAGAAGAACAGATTGGGGTCAGAGAAAGAGACAGTGAATTCTATTTCACATGGGTTGAATTTGAGGTACCTATGAGAAATAGACGACCGATAGAAGTTTGGAAATGTGAGGAAGGAGTTCAGGAGTAAGGAAGGATTTAGAGGTGTTGATTTGGAAGCCAACCTGAGAAGCAGTAGAGTTCATTGGAATAAAGGAGTCTACTTAGGGCAAACAAGTGAATGAGAAGAAAGGAAAGTCAAGAAAGGAATTGAGGAGGTTGAACAGAAGCTCAGTAGTATCAACCCCTAATAGCAGAAAGTGCCAGAGGCCAGCACAGTTTCAGAAAATCCACATGTCATATCATCACTTCTCTCCAAACCCATTTTCCAGGGGTGGAAGCTAAAGTGCATTAAACGCTTTTCACATGGCCACACACCAAGAGTAAGCAGCATAGCCAGGATTGAAAGCTAAGACTCTGAGTATGCACTCTTAATCACTTGGTCACGCAGGGGAAAGGCTCTTTGGGGAAAATTTCTCATTCAAGGAACCAGAAGAGTGTGGTGTTATGAAAGAAAAGAATATACAGAAATGGCTAATGGTATATAGCTTGATAAAGAGGTCAATCCAAGCATTCTGTAGCCTTAAAGAAGTCTCTGGTAAGTGTGTCATACATGGAAGCTTCACTGAGAAGGCAAAGGAGAGGACACCTCTCACTCTCACCGACAGATTGGCACAAATACTTATAGTAATAAGGAGCTCCCATTACTTCTCAATTGAGATATAATTCACGTTTCATAAAATTTACCATTTCAACGTTTACAATTCAGTGATTTTTAGTACAGTCACAAGGTAGTTTACTTTTTAATTCCAGAACATTTCCATCACCTCTGGAGAGAAATCCCATACTCATTAGCATTCATTCCTTATTTTCCACCAGCTCCTGACAACCATTAATCTACTTTCTGTCTCTATGGATTTGCCTGGTTTAGACTCTCATTATTTTTAAAAAAAAATTTAATTAAGGTATTATTGATAAAGTGGAAAACATGATGTTTTGATATATGTATACATTGTGAAATGTTTAAATCAAGCTAATTGACATATCCATCACCTCACACATTTACCATTTTTTTGTGGTGAGAACATCTAGGAACTACTCTCTCAGCAATTTTTGAGTATACAATATATAATTATCAACTATAGCTACCATGCCATACAATAGATCTCCAGAACTTTTTCATCCTGACTGAAACTTTGTACCCCGTGACCAACATCTTCCCATCCCTACTCTCTTAGGACTTTTTGAGGCTGCCTCATCCTCTCAGTGGTTACTGCTGCTGGAGAAATGGCTTACTTAGGCTGAGCTATCATGTGCCCTTTCATGTTTCCTCCCATTGATTCCAGACTGGTTTTCTGGAGCAACGTGGCAAGTCTCTTCTCAGTTCTAAAGCAATGTTTTCTAAAGGGTGGGTGGACGAGGAAATGCCTTTAGGACACAGCAGAAATGAACAGCAAATCACACAGTGAGAGAGAAAGTGTGGCTCCCTTTCCAATTCCCTTACAATTCTGAAAAAAAAAAGAACACAGGCTAAGTTGAGAGCCTTGGTGGCTTTCAGACTCTCTAATACTTGCTATTCTTTCTTTCGTTTTAACAAAGAACAGAATCAGAGCTTTCTGCTACACTAGCGTTTCACCAAATTAAATAAAGTTACATTTTCATTGTACTTATTTTTACATTCACTTTCTGGTTAGGACATTTAAGTGATTGATACAAAGTTACCTGTAAAGTAACAATCTAAAATGAGATAATTTGAGGAAAATACTAAATGGCTAAGAGCAAACAGGTTTCAAGATACGGCAAAAATCAAGAAAATGATGCTTGGATGATTAAAGTTTGGGAATCACTGTTCTAAAGGCAGTATGTCACATTTTTGGAAATTAATATCTAATTTTCCCATAGCTACCTCTTCAAAATACATCCAATTTTGTAGCAATGGGGCCACAGCAATGCTACATGCTCATTAGGTATCTTATTAAAATTCTTATGGTTTCCAAATACTTTCTAAATATAACAAATCAAGCCAGCCCCCACTAAAATCAGTAATTAGCCAACCTGAGTACACAGAGGACTTTGAACATCTCTCATCTCTACTGTCAATGGTAATCAAATCTTCCCCAGACTTCTTGTTTTCCAGATTTACTCAAGCAAAGCCCCATGACTTTTATCAGCAATTTATTTTTCTCTGGAAATGCCTAGTTAGAAGACTCCAGAAGAAATCAAAATTAAATTGTTTTGCTGTTTTCTCTCTATGCAATGGATGCAATCAAACGTTACTTCCCCTGATTTTCTCTTGCTTCATTTTTAGGCAAGAGAGGATTTTTGCCTATTTCGTTTGTCCTCGGTT